CCCAGCAAGATAAATTGGCCAAGTGGCAGCATCAATGGACTCAAGCGTGGAAACAGTAGTGAGATTTGTCCGGGATCAGGCAGTGTTTCGTTCTGCTGTGCATAAGGTCGCTATGGGTCGGTACTGACTCGACAACAAATTATTACTACATTTTGTTTTTTCTCTTTAATTTTGATGTGAAGGTGTATTAATTTTCTTTGAAGTTATCGTCACATCTTTTTTGATTCTTCTTCGTGTTTGTTTTTTCCAGATTTTCTATACTGTTTCTGTGTTTCTTTTGTAGTCCGAAAGGGAAGAAAAATCAGATATTAAGAATAAATAAATAAAAATTCCCAGCACTGAAAAAGAAGAAGTGGACGGAGCACATGGTGCCTGTAATTGAGCTGGAGCTGGGAGGGGTGGGGCTGAGAGTGTTGCTTCTGTTATAAGATGTAGCCTGCAGAGCCGGGTACTTCCAGCACCTGAGTCCAGTCTACTGGGATCATGAAACTGCCCCTGCTGTGTGTGCTGGTGGTAATCGCTGGTGAGTGGGGTGTCAGGACCTATGACTGAGAAGGGAGGAGAAATGCAGCTTGGTCCTACACCTATCGCTTCCTAGACTAGGGGGCTGCTACTCTGATAACTTATGCCCAGACCCTGAAGTTCTCCAACCATTCTACTCACTGCTGATAGGAGTCATGAGCAGCTTCCAGTCTCCTAGAATAATGCCTTGGACTAGAGAAATCTGGGCTGCCCACCTGTCTGGTGTGTGTGGTAAGCCTCACGACAGGTAAGAGACCAGAAGTTTAGAACCTGGGAGCTTGGTGGTTGATATCTGTGGTTCTTTGAAGACAAATTACAGAAGGATGTGCCACCCTCATTCTACTCACCCAATCCTTTGACTGAATAATAGCAATCCTTTACGTATGCACAGCACATTATTTTTCAAATTTTTTCCTTGTCATTCTCTTCTTTGAACCTGGGAAGAGAGCTCAGTTGTGTATGGGCAGGGGGTAGAACAGTTTTCTTATAAAAATGTGGTTGCTAAAAATTGACATTTTGTTTTCTTAATTCATCTTGAAATGTGTTATTTTTACAAGGATTTTTCATGTTTAATTATGCTTTTATGATACCTTGGGATTCCCAAATTTTTTTAGAGGAATGCATGGTCAGGGTTACAGAGAAAACTTGAGAAAATTGCAGTCCACCGACAGAAATTCATCTCTCAGATATAAAGAGGCAGAGATAAAATACACAGTTGAACCTGCATTCCAATGCTGGCCCCACTGTCTCCTGGTGGTATGACCTTTGCTAAGTCACCCAACCTCTCTATTTTCTCATCTGTAAAGTGGACTTAACAGCACCCCCTTTACATGGTTGTTTTATGGGTGCTAATATTGTCAGGAGGGACCAGTCATTGAAAAAGGATATCATGTTTGGTAAGGTGGAGGGTCAGAAAAAAAAAAGAGGAAGACCCCCAATGAGATGGATTGTCCAAGTGGCAGTATCAATGGACTCAAGCGTGGCAACAATAGTGGGGTTGGCCCAGGATTGGGCAGTGTTTCATTCTGCTGTGCATAAAATCGCTATGGGTTGGTACTGACTCAATGGCACCTAACAAAAACAACAACAACAATACAAAAATACATGCAAAATGTGTACAAAAGTGTTTAGCGATAGTAAGTTATAGTAATCAGCAATAGATAAACACATAGTACCTGCTAAAAAGATTGGTAGTGATGTTGCCTCCTACCCACCATGTCTAGCACTCAGAGGCTGAGTCACATTCCCCTTGGAAGCAGTTGAAGATTGGGAAAGCTACAGAGGCATGAACTGCTGACAAGTCAAGTCCCAAGGGCACCATACCCACAGAATGAGTGTCTCAATTTCCTAAACCTAGGTCGGTCTTCTTACTGTTAAATACAAGAAAAAAGACCACCCAAAAGCACTCTGTATCAGAGCTGAATTTATAATCATTTGCCTGGCAAGAGAAAGCTGCTTCATTCAAATGTGAGTTTAGCGTATCTCGGAGACAAATATACTAAGAAGTAATTGAGGTCCATCCAGAAAAGCAAAATTCTAAGTTCAGATCTCTACTTGGCCTACAAACATGACCTACAAACTCTTATTTACAATCAGTTGCCTTTCAGTTCCCTATTATAAAATCCAGGAATGTAGGATGCATTGTGCAGGATTCCAGTAAGGCTCCATCATTCATCAACTTGGTCAAAGTCAGCAAGATTTGTCTTTAACATCCCACACAGCAGGAACTACCATGCCAAACAGAAGCAGCAATGTGAGTTTTCAAACAATTAGTTCTCACGGGATACGAGTCTGAAAACCCCACTGACACCCTGTCACTGCACTTTTGGTCTGCTGTGTGAATCCTTCCCAACACCCCTCACCTGGACCTCCCTGCAGTGTGGGATTGATAGAGCTCATGGGGCTCAACCCTGTTTACTATTTACTTCATTTGCATGAGGACCTTCATTATAATTTACCAGAGGAGGTGGGGAAGGCCACTCAAAGAGCACTGCATAACTATTATTGTTTTTAATAGCAGTACCAGCCCAGTCTTCCTTACAGTCACCTCCATCTGGATGAATACTCAACTGTGTTCCTGAATCATCTCTTGAGGTTGCACAAATATAATTTAAGTCCCCTTCTTCATGTCTGTTTTCCCCAACTTTGTCCCTAAATTCATTGACTTCATATATTTTATATCTTCCTATGTATCTTAATAAATGCAGTCATCTCAATTAAATAAACTTCCCTTATGATGAATTTTTAACTAGCAGTTATTATGACTTAAATGAAAATATCTTTGAAAATTATTGATTTATAAATCAGGCTTCCTCCCAAGAGAACCACATATATATATTTTTTTTTAATATGTGAGTTTCTTTAGAAGATGGGGGCATGGTAGGACAAGAGCTGGAGTCAGTGGTGGTTCTGTGGTAGAATTCTCACCTATCCAAAGGAAGACTGAATTCGATTCCCAGCCAATGCAAGTTATATGTGGCTACCTACCACTGTCTGTCAATGGAGATTTGTGTGTTGCCATGATGCTGAACAGATCTCAGTGGAGCACCCATGTGAAGGCAGGCTAGAAAGAAAGACCTAGCATTCTACTTCCAAAAACAAGCTTATGGAGACAATCAACAATCGATTGTGGGGATGGTGCACATCCAGGCAGCATTTCGTTCCCTTGTGCACAGGGTTATACTGAGTTGGGAATAAATCAATGGCATCTAACAACAACCTAATCTTGAGTAAGCCACTGAACCTCAGTTTGCTCATCTGTTAAATGAGAATCAAAAACAGCACTCCTTGTACTAATGTTGGTTTCTTTGTTTGACAAATGTATCACAATTATGTAAGATGGAAATACTGAGAAAACCAGTGAGAGGTGTGTGTGAATTATCTGTACAATCTCTACAACTTCTTTAAAATCTAGAATTATTCCAAAACCAAAAGTTTATTGATTTTTTAAAATAGCATTAATCTCATGGAATGGATTCAATAAATTAATACATAAAAAACTGTAGGATGGTGCTAGACACTCAGTAACTATTGTTATTTTCTGATAGTGATGTCAGCCCTCGGCCACATGGGCATTCCTCCATGATTTCATTTTTTTCTCCTTGTTGTTGGTCAGGGGTGATTCCAGTCCAGAGTGGGATACTAAACCTGAACAAGATGATCAGACAAGTGACCAAGAAGACACCCCTCTTACACTATGGGTTCTACGGCTGTTACTGTGGACTTGGTGGCAGAGGCCAACCCAAAGATGCTACAGACTGGTAACCCTACCCAAACTCAGCCTGCAGTGGCATTCCTACCCTGCCTCCCACCCCAGCGCCATCTCCTTTCCATTCATTTAGCAAATATTCATTGAGTACCTACTTGTGCTAAGAATTCTGCTGATGCAGCCCAGTCCTTCCTTCCAGAAGGTTCCCCAGAGTCTCAGAGGCCACCTTTTTCTGCTTCCAACCCCTAATCTAGTCACAATACAGGAACCCCCCCCCCAACCTGGCACATTAAGAATTTTAAAAGCCCACTTATTTTTGCCAACACTGGTTCTCCCACTATCTGAAAGTAGAGTAGTAGAGTGTTCCTAAAGAACGTTTAGTAAGCACATATGGTATAAAACGATGAAGCAATCACCATAAATGTATTTGCGAAAAAATATTTAAACACTCCTGGACCCAGCGCTGTGGGTCAATGTGCTGGACTGCAAAGTTGGTTTGAACCACAAAGTCGGTGGTTCAACCTCACCAGCCGTTCCTCAGAAACCCTATACAGGGTCACTATGGGTCAGTCGCTATACGGCACTTAATGACAGCAACAGGCCCAATAGATAACTTAGCAAATCATACCAAATGTCACATAAAACCTAAAATAACAACCGTCAATTGTTCACAGACTTCCTTCAAAACCGTGGTGGCTTGATGCTGAGTGTAGCTCCCAGGTATGAGCATGGCGACACCACTCTGCCTACTGGGGGGTGTGCTGTCTCTTCAAAAGCACTAGTTTTGCTTTTTGCCTTTTTTCATGAAAGTGAAAATTCTCTTAGGGTTTTTTTCATTAAGTGAAAATAGATACTAATATAGCACTTTTGTAAAAGTGACACGGCATTAAGCAAACTTTGGGGAAGGAACGGACACTTGTATTTCATTGAACTTCATAGCAATCCTCTCCCCGGCCACCCAAAAAAGTCAGGCCCTGGGTTACATTCTTGCTCTACCACTCCGAAGCTGTGTGATTTTGGCAAGTGACTTGACCTCTCTGAGCCTCAGTTTCCTCATTTATGAAATGAGGTTAATACTAGTACTTTCCAATCCCAAACCAAACCTGCTGCCATCAAGCCAATTCTGACTTATAGTGACCCTGTATAGGGTTTCTGAGGCTGTAAATCTTTAAGGGAGCAGAAAGTCTCATCTTTCTAACTTGGAGCAGCTGGTGAGTTTAAATTCCCAACCTTGGGACTAGCTTTGTTGTTGTTAAGTGCCATTGAGTTGGTTCTGACACATAGCAACCCTGTATAGGGTTTCCAAGGAGCGTCTGGTGAGCTTGAACCACTGCCCTTGTGGTTCAAAATGACTTTTTAGTCCAGCACAGTAACCCACATCACCACACTAGGACTTCCAGTCCAGTGCTTATCCTACAGCACCACCAGAACTCCTGAAGTCCTTCCCACATAGAGAATAAGGATTAAAGCAGGATGTGTAGAAAACACACACAG